GCGAGAGGAAATATAGTTTTACAGTGAAAGATAAGTAGGAAAGTGGAATGAATTACATGAGCAGGTTATAGAAGTCACCTCATTCAAATTTTCTAAGCAGATATGTTAGGAGAAATTTAGGTAGGAAGCGGAATCTCATCTTTCGTGCTGTATCTATATCTACTTCTGACATTAGTTATTGTTTTATCTCTTCCAGTCTCCCTTAGTCTGTTCTCTCACTCTTCTACCCTGCCTTATACTGAACATGTCCCCTTGTTCTACCCTGCCTTATACTGAACATGTCCCCTTGTTCTACCCTGCCTTATACTGAACATGTCCCCTTGTTCTACCCTGCCTTATACTGAACATGTCCCCTTGTTCTACCCTGCCTTATACTGAACATGTTCCCTTGTTCTACTCTGCCTTATACTGAACATGTCCCCTTGTTCTACCCTGCCTTATACTGAACATGTCCCCTTGTTCTACCCTGCCTTATACTGAACATGTTCCCTTGTTCTACCCTGCCTTATACTAAACATGTCCCCTTGTTCTACCCTGCCTTATACTGAACATGTCCCCTTGTTCTACCCTGCCTTATACTGAACATGTCCCCTTGTTCTACCCTGCCTTATACTGAACATGTTCCCTTGTTCTACCCTGCCTTATACTGAACATGTCCCCTTGTTCTACCCTGCCTTATACTGAACATGTCCCCTTGTTCTACCCTTCCTTATACTGAACATGTTCCCTTGTTCTACCCTGCCTTATACTGAACATGTCCCCTTGTTCTACCCTGCCTTATACTGAACATGTCCCCTTGTTCTACCCTGCCTTATACTGAATATGTCCCCTTGTTCCACCCTGCCTTATACTGAACATGTCCCCCTTGTTCTACCCTGCCTTATACTGAATATGTCCCCTTGTTCTACCCTGCCTTATACTGAACATGTCCCCCTTGTTCTACCCTGCCTTATACTGAACATGTCCCCTTGTTCTACCCTGCCTTATACTGAACATGTTCCCTTGTTCTACCCTGCCTTATACTGAACATGTCCCCTTGTTCTACCTTGCCTTATACTGAACATGTCCCCTTGTTCTATCCTGCCTTATACTGAACATGTCCCCCTTGTTCTACCCTGCCTTATACTGAACATGTCCCCTTGTTCTACCCTGCCTTATACTGAACATGTCCCCTTGTTCTACCTTGCCTTATACTGAACATGTCCCCTTGTTCTATCTTGCCTTATACTGAACATGTCCCCTTGTTCTACCCTGCCTTATACTGAACATGTTCTAGATCAGGTTCCAGGATTGAACCTTGTGGGACTCCACTAATGACATCTCGCCACTCTGAGACTTCACCCCTCACAGTGACTCACCAACATCTCGCCACTCTGAGACCTCACCCCTCACAGTGACTCACCAACATCTCGCCACTCTGAGACCTCACCCCTCACAGTGACTCACCAACATCTCGCCACTCTGAGACCTCACCCCTCACAGTGACTCACCAACATCTCGCCACTCTGAGACCTCACCCCTCACAGTGACTCACCAACATCTCGCCACTCTGAGACCTCACCCCTCACAGTGACTCACCAACATCTCGCCACTCTGAGACCTCACCCCTCACAGTGACTCACCATCTTCGGTTGCATGGGTACTCTTTTTTTTCCACTGTAGTACCATCCCTGTTATTCCTGTTTGTATCCGTAACTTTTGCATTAGTCTCATATGTGGTACTGTGTCGAAGGCTTTCTGGCAATCCTAAAATATGCAGTTTCCTCACCCTTCTTTCTTGCCTGATTTTTGTCGCCTGGTCATAGAATTTAATTAATCCTGTGAGGCAAGATTTTCCATCCCTAAACCCATGCTGGTGATGTGTTGTGAAGTTCTTTGGTTCCAGTTTGTTTTCGCTCACTCTTCTCCATCACCTTGCATGGTATACAAGTTAGGGACACTGGCCTGTACTTCATCGCCTCCTGTCTCTCACCCTTCTTGTATATTGGGACTACATTAGCCATCTTCCAAATTGTTGGTATTCTCCTGTTACTAGTGAATTGTTACATTACATTGTGAGTGGTACGCACAGTACTTCTGCTTCTTCTTTTAGTATCCATGGTGAGATTCCATCTGGGCCGATAGCCCTTGTCATATCCAAGTAAAGCAAATGATTCCTTACCTCCCCACTGATAATCTCAAACTCCTCCAGTGGTGCCTGGTTACATATTCCCTCTCTTATCTCTGGAACTTCTCCTTGCTTTAATGTGAAGACCTGGAATTTCTTATTGAGTTCCTCGTACACTTCCTTGTCATTTGTAGTGAATCAGTCTGCCTGTAGCCTCAGTTTCAATACCTATTCCTTCACTGTTGTTTTCCTTCTGATGTGACTGTGCAGCAATTTGAGTTGAAACTTTGCCTTACTTGTTATGTCATTTTCGTACTGTTTTTCTGCCCCTCTTCTCATCCTGACGTATTCATTCCTGGCATTCTGATATCTTTCTCTGCTCTCAGGTGTCCTGTTATTCTAGAGTTTCTCCGCGCCCTTATCCTTTGTTGCCTTGCCATCTTACATCCTTGATTAAACCATGGCTTTCTCATTTATCTTTCTTTCTTTCTTTTAGACTGGGACAAACTTCTCTGCTGCCTCCTTACACTTCTGCGTGATGTAGTCCATCATGTCTTGGGCCGTCTTTCCTCTGAGCTCTGTTTCCCAAGCTATATTTGTTAGGAATTTCCTTATCTCCTCATAGTTTCCCTTTTTCCGAATGCCAGCCTTCTGTTTTCTGGTCCCTCCTTGAGTACGTTAACCCTACTTTACCAGATACTCAAACATCAGTACACTGTGATCGATCATTTCCACGAGGGGTTCATAGTTGACTTCCCTTAATGTCGAAATCGGTCAAAGTGAACATTTGGTCAAGTCTCGCTGGTTCGTCATTGCCTCTCATTGTTGTGGGTGACGCGCTGGCTTAAAATGTTTCTTGCTGCCACATTCAATAGCTTAGCTCTCCATGTTTCTTCGCCTACGTGCGGTTCTATGTTCTCTCGGTATATCTCTCCAAGGTTGAAATCTCCCACGATAAGCAGACGGGATCGATGCGTGTATGTTTGTACTCACCTATTGTACTCGCCTATTTGTGCCTACAGCATCGAGCTCTAGCTCTTGGACCTCGCGTTTCTAACCAATTTATCTTTCCTCTATTATATCTACTACTTATATTTCACTTTAACACACACACATCCACAGGAAACAGCCGTAGCAGCTGTCTAACTCCCAGGTACCTATTTACTGCTAGGTGAACAGGGGAATCAGAGTGAAGGATAATCTGCCTATTTGTTTCCGCCTCCGCCAGGAATCGAACCCGGGCCATTAGGACTACGACTCCCAAGCGCTGTAAACTCAGCCGCGAGGCCCCCCTAACCTCGTGTACTCACCTAGTTGTGCTTGCGGGGGTTGAGCTCTGGCTCTTTGGTCCCGCCTCTCAACTGTCAATCAACAGGTGTACAGGTTCCTGAGCCTACTAGGCTCTATCATATCTACACTTAAAACTGTGTATGGAGTCAGTCTCCACCACATCACTTTCTAATGCATTCCATCTGTTAACTACTCTGACATTGAAAAAGTTCTTTCTAATGTCTCTGTGGCTCATTTGGGTACTAAGTTTCCACCTGTGTCCCATAGTGCGTGTGCCCCTGGTGTTAAATAGTCTGTCTTTATCTACCCAATCAATTCCTCTGAGAATCTTGTATGTGGTGATCATGTCTCCCCTAACTCTTCTGTCTCCCAGTGACGTGAGGTTTAATTCCCGTAGCTCATACCCCCTCAGTTCGGGTCCTAGTCTGGTGGCAAACCTTTCAACCCTAACCAGTTAGTCTTATGCTTGACTAGATATGGACTCCATGCTGGAGCTGTATACTCCAGGATTAGTCTGACATAGGTGGTATACAAAGTTCTGAATGATTTCTTACACAAGTTTCTAAAGACCGTTCTTATGTTGGCCAACCGGGCATATGCCGCTGATGTTATCCTCTTGATATGGGCTTCAGGGGATGTGTGTGTGTGTGTGTGTGTGTGTGTGTGTGTGTGTGTGTGTGTGTGTGTGTGTGTGTGTGTGGTGTGTGTACTCACCTATTTGTGTCTGCAGGTTCGAGCATTGACCCTTGGATCCCGCCTGTCGACCATCGGTTGTTTACAGCAATGACTATGGTCCTATTTCCCTATCATACTTAGTTTTAAATTTATGAAGAGTATTTGCTTCCACAACCTGTTCCTGAAGTGCATTCCATTTTCCCACTACTCTCATGCTAAAAGAAAACTTCCTAACATCTCTGTGAATCATCTGAGTTTCCAGCTTCCACCCATGTCCTCTCGTTCTGTTGCTATTCCGTGTGAACATTTCGTCTATGTCCACTCTGTCAATCCCCCTGAGTATTTTATACATTCCTATCATGTCCCCCCTCTCCCTTCTTCTTTCTAGTGTCGTAAGGCACAGTTCCTTCAGCCGTTCCTCATACCCCATCCCTCGTAACTCTGGGACGAGTCTCGTTGTTGCAAACCTCTGAACCTTTTCGTTTCCTTATATGCTTCTTCAGATGGGGACTCCATGATGACGCGGCATACTCGAAGACTGGCCTCACGTTGTGTGTGTGTGTGTGTGTGTGTGTGTGTGTGTGTGTGTGTGTGTGTGTGTGTGTGTGTGTACTCACCTAGTTGTGCCTGCGGGAGTTGAATGTTTGCTCTTTGATCCCGCCTCTCAACTGTCAATCAACTGGTGTGTGTGTGTTATCTCCCCCGACAGATTATCACAGTTGGTTGTCTCATTGTATTATCACTCTTCCCCCCCTCCCCCCCTCCCCCCTCAACCTCTCCTCCCCGTCTCCCCTCTGGGACGGGAGGGATGATCCTGCCCTCTTCTGTCTCTCCTATGGGACGGGAGGGATGGTCCTGCACCTCTCCCGTCTCTCCATCCACAAACTTGCATTCGGCGAGGCAGTAAGAGTTGTGTGTCCCCCTACAGGAGCAACGTGAAGGGCCGGGCGACGGGGGACAAGCCGCCCTCCGGCAAGTGTCGCTCGGGTCGAGGCAAGGAGAACGAACCCCGAGGTCGACCTGTCACTCGAGAGACTACCGAAGACGACCCTCGAGATGAGGAGGACCTCGACGATAAGGCCGAGGTGGAGGAGGGGGCGGGAGAGGGGTGTCTCAATGTCTCCCGTCTTGCTGGACAGGTAAGCGTTTTCTGTCTCTTGTTGTGCTGCTTTTGTCTGTCTGTCTGTCTCTCTCTTTCTCTGTCTATCTCGCTCTATCTCTCTGATTCCTGTTGTTTACATACGTGTTTCTTACTCTTGTGTATAATAATAATAATTGTTGATAACATTATTTATATTCTAAGTACGGTATTATTACATTAAGTACATTACTAAGTACATTATTATAAGTAATTATAATGATTCACAGACACAATAACATAGGATAAAAACCCACTCTTGTGTATTTGCGAGACTTTTGTAAAGAAATTACACCAAGTCTTTCGCATTCTAGCACTTTCAAACATCATTTTCCCTAGAAATCATTTTCCTATAAAATGATTTGCTCGCACAATGATTCTAAGTGAATTCAAATTGGATCTCGATAAATAGATGAATGTAAGCAGTGCCATAACCCGCGTGTCTTGGGGTTATGGAGAGGGCTACGAAGATTAAAATTAAATTAAAGCATCCAGATTAATAATTAAAGCATCCAGATTAATAATTAAAGCATCCAGATTAATAATTAAAGCATCCAGATTAATAATTAAAGCATCCAGATTAATAATTAAAGCATCCAGATTAATAATTAAAGCATCCAGATTAATAATTAAAGCATCCAGATTAATAATTAAAGCATCCAGGTTAATAATTAAAGCATCCAGATTAATAATTAAAGCATCCAGATTAATAATTAAAGCATCCAGATTAATAATTAAAGCATCCAGATTAATGATTAACCTTTATTAATTAATTAATTAACCTTTATTAATAACAACTTCAGTTCTGAGAATATCAGGATTACAGAAAGAACACCTGGCCATATGCAGACGATGAGTCACAGTAACGGGGCTGATGATATGAAGATTTAACCATACACCAGAAGATAAGGAGACGACGACGACTCGGTTCTAATCATCATATTGATTAGTCTTCTAAAAAAAAAAGTCTTTCCTGCCTCTACTCATCACAGACGCCGTCTTGTCGACACGGCTCTCATAACACAACCTTCCCAACATGAACCTGAGTCCTGGCTGTGTTGCTGTGGACTCTTCCCTCTCACAGTACACACTCACATGTTCTAACCTTTCTAACAAACGTGACCTAACATAAGTCTAACCCCCTTTTCTCTTTGTTTTTCTTTCTACTATTATTCTTACTTTCTCATTCTTACATCCATTACTACCCCCCCCCCCTTCTTACACCCGTTCCATCCGTACCTTTCACCATTCTTTCCTTCCTCTAGGAATTTCCTTCTCCTCACCTCTCTTGCCTTACTTAATTCTTGCTTACTTACTCTTGCCTCCGCCCATCATGTTCATCCAGAGCAAGAAGCAGAAAGATTAACAACTCTATTTGCTTCAAGAGACAGTTCCACTCAACTTCCTCAAGCAACTCTGACTCACCAACAAAGACTTCAAGCAGCAAGACGTAAAACAATAGACGATGCTTTAGTCTTACCTGACTAGACCAACCATTCAATTTGAAAGAACTCAGAAGAGATACAAAGAAAACTAAAAACACAGCTCCAGTTGAGGACCAAATCACTTAGAACATGCTAGCCAAGCTAGGAGAAAAGGGTGAAGAAGCCTTCTTGAATCTCATCAACAGAGTATGGATGACAAGAACTCGACCACACTTTTGGAACAGAGCAATTATAGTTCCCATTCCAAAACCCAAAGACCCAGGAAATGCAAGACCCATCTCATTAACAAGCTGTCTGACCAAAACTGTAGGTTAACCTATACCTATAATAGGTTAAGTAATAATTGTAATTACGAAGCAATAAGATGTTTATCTTAACATACTAAGAAGGTTAGGTAAGGTCGGTGTTTTCTATGAAGCTTTTCAAGGTAAACTAGTATGTTTAGTATGTCTCATATGCACGTATTTAATAAGTCAATATTGACTGTAAGAAAGTGCGAGAACGGGTTGGGCCATTTCGTCCTGAGTATTTAATCTGAAACAACAACAACAACAACATACTCCTGCCGTGCCTCACTCCCTCCCTCCCATCACAATCGACTTGATAATGGTCCTGGACGGATCGAAACGTCGTCTCCTCATCTTCTGGTGTGTGGTTTGGTCTTCAACACCTGACCATAATGCCACAGAAGACATTAGAGCAGATATATCGGCAGTCGGGAGAAGAGGTGACTTGGTCAGGTCAAGAAGGATAAGAGGATTGAACCCAGGGTAGCAGCCGTACGGGCTATTCGTGCCCGTGCCACCTCTTGGGTGGCTTAATCTTCATCACTCAGAGGTAGCAGCCTCATTAGTCTTTAAGATGTAAGTCTCTCCCTACCCACACACACTCACACCTTGACAAAGCACTCAGGAGAGTGCGAATGACTTCGTGTAATTTCTTGACATAAATCTCACAAATACACAAGTTTTTATCCTATCAATATAATAATAATAATTATTATTATTTTGTTATTGTTATCCTAATTATTAGTAACCAGATTTGGGCAACACTAATAATCATTCAACTAACGTGACCAGTCAGGACAAGTACTTTAGTTAAGTGTAACTCAAGCGAGGCTCTTGACCCTCGTTACCACAACCCTTAATATTGCCTTTCCTTGTTTAACATAATTAAATACCTTAAGACATTACACACAGACCAAAACTGCTTAAGGCAGCGTCTGGGATCCTCTCAGACGCAGGTTCGAATCCTCGTCACGGCCCTTGTGGATTTGTTCATTTACCTTAAGACATCTTCTAAGTCGTAAGTTAGGGTGTTTCCTGAATTGAATTATCTTACGATGTTTCCTAAATCATAATCTTAAGATGTTTTATGAATCAAATTTACCTTTCAGGATGTTTTCTTAGTCATGTTACCTTAGGATGTTTTCTTAGTCATGTTACCTTAGTCATGTTACCTTAGGATGTTTTCTTAGTCATGTTACCTTAGTCATGTTACCTTAGGGTGTTTTCTTAGTCATGTTACCTTAGGGTGTTTTCTTAGTCATGTTACCTTAGGGTGTTTTCTTAGTCATGTTACCTTAGGATGTTTTCTTAGTCATGTTACCTTAGGGTGTTTTCTTAGTCATGTTACCTTAGGATGTTTTCTTAGTCATGTTACCTTAGTCATGTTACCTTAGGGTGTTTTCTTAGTCATGTTACCTTAGTCATGTTACCTTAGGATGTTTTCTTAGTCATGTTACCTTAGGATGTTTTCTTAGTCATGTTACCTTAGTCATGTTACCTTAGGATGTTTTCTTAGTCATGTTACCTTAGTCATGTTACCTTAGGATGTTTTCTTAGTCATGTTACCTTAGGATGTTTTCTTAGTCATGTTACCTTAGTCATGTTACCTTAGGATGTTTTCTTAGTCATGTTACCTTAGTCATGTTACCTTAGTCATGTTACCAGTAGTAGGCATCCATCAGTCTCAGGAGACTATGGAGTTGCGCTCTGGTTGTCGGTCTGGAGTGGCCTCTCCAGGGCGCAAAGCCAGGGTAGGTTGATACGGAGGAGAAGCTGTTACCCATGCAGCAGGTCCCCCCCCTCTCCACGGCGCCGAAAGTCTCCAATGGAAAGGCAAACGCCAATACGATTGGTTCCAGCGCCGTCGCAGGAACTGTGAGCTCCGGAGTTGACCTCGAAGTTGGTGAAAGAAGGCACAGGGACTCCAAACCCGGAGACCGCCGTGGTCGGGGCCGGAGAAGAACCACCCCAGAAAGGGCAAGAACGACCCCAGCCTCCTGAAGCAGAGCCTGGGGGGCCGCACGAGCCCCAGGAGGTGGACGGCCCGGTCCCGCACCTACGGGTTCCTGACAGAGATCGTCACAGCCCTCTTTCACCCGAGGCCCGCTTCCTTCAAGACCAAGCAGAAGGAAGAGTAATAATTATTAAATATAATAATTATTATTATAATATTATAATAATTATTATTAATTTAATTTAAATACAATTATTATTATAATAATTATATTAGTATTTATTAACAATGTGTTGAGTGTGGGTGAGAGAACAGGTGTTACAAACACTTAATACACTGGTGTGTGTAGGGTCCTGAGCCTATTGTGCTCACTCATATCTACATATGAAAGTGTGTATGGAGTCAGCCTCCACCACATCACTGCCTAATTAGTTTTGTTCTCTACTCAGACACTGAACATATAGTGTATATTGTCTCAGTGGCTCGTCGGCTGCTTATATTCTACCTGTGTCTAATTGTTTCTAGACCACCATTTCCAATTAATCTTTCTTTGTCTGCTGTGATGTTACCCTGAGAATGTTGTATGTCGTCATCATGTTTCTCCTGACACTTGTATCCTACAGTAACTTGATATTTAATTTGTTTAGTCTTTCATTGAAACTCATACCTCTTAATTCTGGGACAAGTCTGCTGGCATACCTCTGAACTTTCTCCAGCTTGGTCCTCCGCTCCTTTTCCATCGTGGAATTGAGTTTGGTCCCACAACCTTTGTTGTGTTCAGCTCCTGCAGACGCCGCCTTGCTATTGCTACCTTTCCTGGTTGATACCTGCTTGATGGGGTTCTGAGAGTTCTTCTACTCCCCAAGCCCGGCCCGAGGCCAGGCTTGACTTGTGAGAGTTTGGTCCACCAGGCTGTTGCTTGGAGCGGCCCGCAGGCCCACATACCCACCACAGCCCGGCTGATCTTCATATTCCTGGAACTCTCAGAGATCCTTTTGTGCCAATGGATTTGGTGCCGTCCACTCGGCTCAGAACTCTGCCTTGTTCTGTTGTCAAGACTTTTGGAATCTCTTCTTGAGTTCATCACACACCTCCCTGTTTTTCTCCGGTAAAGTGTCCTTACCTAACTTCACTTTCGTCACCTGATTCTTAACTTTTTTATAATGTAACTATAAAGTAACTTGGATTGGGTCTCCGATTCTCATCTCATTATGAGTTATTTTCTCATGACTCTCTGGTACCTCCTACTGCTTCATGTTGTTCCTGTGGCTTATCCTGGCCCTTCATTCATTGTGTTGGGGACAGACAGCCAGTGTATATATACACATGTTAGGCTTATATCCAGGTACCCCCCTCCTAACCTTGTACTTAACTGCTTTGCTTCCTTGCAGCTTTGGCTTAACTATGGTCTTCCCGTTTCTTTCAATAGTCTATCTCTGGTCAGGGACGATCTTGTCGACTACTTCCTGACACTGTGAGTGAGGTAATTCATCATGTCTTACAAGGAGGGTAGTCTCTTCGACTTATGTTTAAGATATAAATTCCTAATACAAATTCTTTTATCTCTTCATAGTTTCCTCTCTCTGTACGTCAACCTTTTACTTAATGCCTTCTCTGGACAGGTCATTACTGCTTGCACCAAATACTCAAATGTCAGTAGACAGCGATGGCCCACTCCCATGGGGGCCGCCTCATTCATTTACCTCATGTCTGACATTTTTAGAGTAAACATCATGTTAAGTGTTAGCGATTTACTGTGCCCTTCTCACTCATGGTTCACCTGACATGGTTGACGTAGCAAGTGTTTCGTTGCTGCTCTCATTTGTTTAGTTTTCCATGTAGCTGTTCCCGGATGTTGTCCTTTCTTCTCCTAGTCTGTATTGTCATAGTTAAAGTCTGCCTTGAACAATAGTCAGAATTTGTTCCCGCTGGCAATTAAAGCTGATCTTTATATTAATAAAGCTGCCATGTTTGTTTTTTGTCACACTCGAATACTAGTGTTGTACCAAGCATTATAGTCCTGTCGCTACTACTGTCGTGGGTCGTCCCAGTGTTATGGTGCATCTTGTGTACCCGCTTAAGCCCCTCACAGCCTCGGATTACTATCTCCTCTAATATCCAGTCCTATCTTATCCGAAGAGCCGCTTTCCCCTCTGTTTTCTTTATGGTATTCCAGAGGGAACGCTGCTTTTATTATCAATCCTGGCATTTTCATTTATGTGAGTGTATGAATCATGTATATTATTCTCAGTTACATAATTTATGGCCTCCTTCAGGGCATATATCTTATGTGAGTGTAATTGCATATGTTTTGCAGGTGTGGGGTCGTGGTGGTGCAGGTGTGATGAGGGTGGGACTGCTGCCCGCCTTCACCCGATCTGGACGAACTGGATCCCTACCCCACCACGCCCGCAGGTCGTCGTCAGAGGTGGTGCCGCACGCGCCAACACCTCCCCCTACACCCACTTTAGAGGACCGCCCGCCTATCCCAGACTCCCCCAAGCCCAAAGTGAAGGGCTTGACCAAGAAACGGGCCGCCTCAGCCTCCCCTTCAAGAGACAAGAGGCGATCCTTCCGTGGGATATCTCGGGACCGCTTCCCGCACCTGCCTCCCATGCCACACCTACCTCCTATGCCACACCTGCCACCCATGCCACACCTGCCTCCCATGCCACACCTACCTCCCATGCCACACCTGCCCCCCATGCCTAAGGCCCCATCGCTGCCACCACAATTACGGAAGTTTGTGAGCCGTAAGGGTGGGAAGGAGAGGCCGGGGCAGGAGAGCCCCAACAAGCCCAATCGTCGTCAGGGCCCCGTGGGGCGCACCTGGGTCAAGGTCTACGACGACATCACCTTCATGGACGACGACAAGAGCGACGGTCTGTACCCCGTGCTGGCCTACACCGGCAGACCCAAGACCGTGCCCGATGCCGCGCCCCTCCCCACGCCCCCCACGCCACCCCCACCAAGGGCGCGCCACAAGGACGCCTCCATTGACAGCGAATACGACAACGTCCCGAAACCCGACCAGCAGGAGCTCGAACCTGCTGACGACTTCCCGGAGGACCTGGTGGGCACGAAGCCCACCGACGAGTCAGGTCCTGTGGCCGAGGACGACCCACACGACGCACAAGCCGGTCAGGGCCGCGGCAGAGACAGGTTCAGGGGCAGACGCCAGAAGCGGACGGGGACGCCGGTGACCGTGGGACGCGGTCAGTACGACGCAGAGGCTGTCGACGACGGGATGGACGCCGAGCGGATGGCAGCCTTAGAGAGTGAGATTATGGTGATGACAGAAGAGGAAGACTACATCATCCCGCAGGCTCTACAGCCCCCTCGCCCCCCTAGAGGCTACAAGGTCTACGACAACCTGGAACTGACGCCCACTGACAGCCGCGACCAGCAACAGCAGCAGGAGCAACAGCAGCAGCAGCAGCAGCAGCAGGAGGACACAGAAGTAGTAGAGGAACCCATCAAGCCGCGCAGAGGAGTCAAGCTCTACGAAGAGATAATCATAAAACGACAACAGTTCCTCCCTGCTGAGGAGGAGCAGAGCTCAGCAGACGAGGAGCAGCAGGAAAGTGAGCAGGTGCGCAGTGCAGAACAGGAACCACCATTCGAGACAGTAGCTGTGGCGGAGAAGACAAGTGGAGAGATACCGCTGGAAAGGGAGACAGACGAGGCAGGGCAGGAGCAGGAGGCAGGGCAGGAGTCAGGGCAGGAGCAAGAGGCAGGGCAAGAGGCAGGTCAGGGGCAGGAGGCAGGTGAGGCAGGGCAAGTGAAGCCTGAAGCCACAACCGAGGAACCTAACCGCCCTAAGCGAGGCGTGAAGGTCTACGAGACATTAGAGGTCCGACGCACGGTGCCTACCGAGTACAGGTTCGAGACCACGATGGAGGAGAGTGTCTCCGAGGTGTACGACCAGCAGGAGGCCGCTCGGGAGAGTCGTCCTCCAGGCCCCGAGGCGGAGGGGTTGCCACCCCGGCCTTCACGAGGCCACAAGGTCTACGCCGCGGTGGTCATAGAGCGTCACCCCGAGAGCGGTCAGGCGCTGGTCTCCGACGTCTCCCTCCTCCTCCACGACCAGACACGTGGAGAGGCACGCGTTAATGGCAGCCTTGCGCCAGCTGTGGAGGACACACCTGCAGGAGACACCGCAGCAGCTGTGGAGGACATACCTGCAAGTGTGAAGGACACGCCTGCAGGAGACACCGCAGCAGCTGTGGAGGACATACCTGCAGGAGACACCGCAGCAGGTGTGGAGGACACACCTGGAAGAGGTACAGCAGCAGGTGTGGTGGATACACCTGCAGGATACACCTCCACACTAGCAGCTGGTGTGGAAGACACACCTGCAGCAAGCACAGCAGCAGGTGTGGTGGATACACCTGTAGGTGTGGAGGACACACCTGCAGGAGGCACAGAAGGAATCCCTGGAGCAGGTGTGGAGGACCAGCAGCAGGGTGGGGGGGCGAGGGAGGGGGTGCCACCATACGCCCGGGTGTTAAAGGGTGCCGGAAGTAGGGAGCTGCGCCCCCTAGCCACTAGCGAGGACGACGAGCCCCCACCACCCATCCCCCCCAAGAAGAAGGGGCTGAGGACCATCTCCCCCCAGCTGGAGAGGGACCCCCCTCGCCCCCCGAGACACCTCAAACCCAAGACCCGGAGGTCTGTGCTGATGGTCAACGGGGACATCTGCCCCCCTCGCCCCGCCAGGGGCACTAAGGTCTACGCCTCCGTCGAGGTCCTCACCCCTGACCCCCCCAAGCGGCACTCCAAGGTCGTGCGCATCGAGGACCTCGCCGCCCACATCAAGGACGACTTCGACACCCATGACGTGCCCCTCAAGCCCACCAGAAACGCCCACAACGTGCCACGACGACGCAAAAAGCATAAGCAATGGAGGGTGCGGGAGGAGGGGGGAGGAGGAGGTGTGAGGGGGGGAGAGGTCTCCCTCACTACCGACTACGACAACTACGAGAACATTACACTGAGTGAGGGCTGCCCGCGCCCCACGGCCCGCAACCGCACCCGGCCCCTCCCCCCGCCCCCTCCACCCCCCAAGAAGGGCAAGATCCAAGAGCATCACCAGCAGCGCCTCCTGGCGGGGGGCGGTGATGACGCGGGGAGTCAGGGCAGCCAACCGCAGGCAGGTGCAGGAGGGGCGGCGAGTGTTGGCAGGCCTGGGGGAGGGGAGGGCCAGTGTGGGTGCCTCCACCCAGCCAGTCGCCCCTCAACACACGCGGGGACTGGCGTCGGTCACCGTCGTCCCGCCGCCTCGCTCGACACCGACATCGACGACAACCTCAAGACCATCGAGTCGTCTTTCGCCGCGCTCGACACCGTCCTAAAGTCTCTGCAGACGTACTCGCGAGCCTCTCCGGGCAGGCTCGGGGGCAGCCTCTCAGGCCAGGAACTAGCCCACCACCCGCCTCCTGCTGCCTCCATCACTGCACCACCAACGGCGTCACCGCCAGGACCCGCGCCGTCAACCCCGCCGCCGTCACCCACACAAACAGCCTCGCCAACGGTACTAACGGCCTCGCTAACAGTGCCCACGACGCCAACAGAGAGAGCCGTCGAGGCGACAGTGAGAGTGGAGGCCGCTACACCGACGCCAGAGCGGGTACCGGCACTGCAGGACTCATACGAGGCGGGGAGCACTGTGCACCAGGCAACAGTGACGCCTCAACACCACCACCACTCTCACCACACCAACAGTGAAGCCAACAGTGCCGTGGTGAGGGAAGCCAAAGGTGGTGACGGCACTGTTGAAAACGTCCAGAGTGATTTAGACGTGGGACCTGGCGAGCCACAGGTGAAAGCCGCCGCCGATAACGCTCAAAGTGAATCCGTGGAAGTCAAAACTGACACAGAAACAGCAGTGAAATTCAAAGAGGGTAGAACAGTTTTTGAAACTTCGGTGAAAATTGGTGAATTCAAAGAGAGTGCGGAGGATGCTAAAAAGTTAGAAAGTGTGGAAATTAAAGCCCAATCAAGTGAAATCCAAAGTGAATTCAGTGCTGATCCTCATATAAGTGCTGAAAAGGTGGAAGTCAAAAGAGAACCCTTAAAAGCTGTTCCAGAAACGACATTGAAATTTGAGAAGGGAAAGACCGTTCTTGAAACGACAGTGAAAATCGGGGAAGCCAAAGAGGGTGCTGAGGAAGCCAAATTCACTCCAGAGGCGAGCTTAAAGATAGAAACTAAGGCTGAGTGCGATGACCTCAAAGGTGATCAATATCCAGTAGTGACAGAAGAGAAAGTCAAAACCCATGAACGTGTGGAAGTTAAAACGGGTCAGGAGACAGTAGTAAAGTTTCACGAGGGCAAGACACTGTTTGAAACCACGGTGAAGGTTGAAGAAGTCAAACCTATTGACAAAGTCAAACCTGTTGACGAGGAAGTCAAAGATGTTCACGATGACGCAAGGCTGTCGCCTCATGAAACAGCTGTTTCTCAATCAGCCGTGAAAGAGGAATCCAAGGCAGATACAAATCAACAAGCTTCAACAAGTTATGCTGTAGAAGAAATCAAGGTAGGTGACCCTGTTGAAGTCAAAATAGTTCCCGAGACAGCTGTGAAATTTGAGGAAGGCAAAACCCTGTTTCAAACGTCAGTGACAATTGGGGAAGTTAAATCTGAGGACGACGCAGGTAAACGTTTACCATATGCTTCAGACAAGGTCGAGGAATTCAAACAAGACACCAAAAACATTGACAATACTTCCCAAACGGCTTTGAAGTCAAAGGAACCTGTGGAAGTCAAAACAGTACTAGAGAAACCCCAAGAAGAAAGAACACTGCACGAGACAACAGTGAAGAGTGAAGAAGTCAAAATCGCCTTAGAGACTGGTGCGGCGCCCAAGGTTAGACCAGTCGATCAGGCTTCAGAGGAAGCCAAAGGCGCTTCTCAAGCGCCCGTTAACGCCGAGAAAGTCAAAAGTGAACCAGAGACGACTTTCAAATTTGAAGAAGGAAGAACACTCTTTGAAACGACAGTGAAAATTGGGGAAGCCAAAGACAACACAGAGGATGCCAAATACAGCACAGATGAAGTCAAAACTACACCAAAGGTAGGTGACGAGATAGTCAAGTGTGTTTCTGAGGTAACAAACGTTGATGAAGCCCTAACCACGGAGGAAGACAAACCTGATTCCGAAAATAACGATAAAACTACCCGCACATCAAAAATTTGTGAAGCCAAAAAGGACCCAGAGGAAGTCAAAACTGTCACTCAAACGGATGTGAAATTTGAAGGGGGGAAGACATTACTTGAAACCACAGTCAAGGTTGGAGAAGCAGAGCAAGTCAAATTTGAACCAGAGGATGAAGCCAAATCCTGTGAACCAGAGGAAACATCAAGGGAGGTAGATGTATCAGTGAAATGTGAGGAAGTCAGACCACAGGAAGAAGTCACTAGCCGTGGGCAACAGACTCCCGACCAGTTTGAGGAAGCCAAAGTTGATCATCCGCCAAAGAAACTCAGAGGAAGAACCGTCTATGAAACTCTATATCAAGTTGAAGCTATCAAGGAGAGGAAGTCAAAGACACAAGAGAAGGTAGAAGACACAAAAATTGAGTCTGCAGAGGTGACGAAGAGGCAGGAGGAAGCCCCAGCAGTCACAGAAGTAGCATCGACGCAGGAGGAAGCCTCAGCAGACATAGAAGTTGCATCGGCGCAGGAAGAAGCCCCAGCAGACATAGAAGTTGCATCGGCGCAGGAGGAAGCCTCAGCAGACATAGAAGTTGCATCGGCGCAGGAGGAAGCCTCAGCAGACATAGAAGTTGCATCGGCGCAGGAAGAAGCCCCAGCAGACGTAGAAGTAACATTGACACAGGAGGAAGCCCCAGCAGACGTAGAAGTAACATTGACACAGGAGGAAGCCCCAGCAGACGTAGAAGTAACATTGACGCAGGAGGAAGCCCCAGCAGACGTAGAAGTAACATTGACACAGGAGGAAGCCCCAGCAGACGTAGAAGTAACATTGACGCAGGAGGAAGCCCCAGCAAACGTAGAAGTCTCATTGACACAGGAGGAAGCTCCAGCAGACATAGAAGTTGCATCGACGCAGGAGGAAGCCTCAGCAGACGTCAAAATAACATCGACGCAGGAGGAAGCCTCAGCAGACGTCAAAATAACATCGACGCAGGAGGAAGCCCCAGCAGACACACAGATCCCATCGACGCAGAAAGAAGTCCCAGCAGACGTAGAAGTGTCATCGACGCAGGTGGAAGCCTCAGCTGACGAAGGAATAACGCAAGCGGAAAAGGAAGCCCGAGTCGAAGTGACACAGACGCAGGAGGAAGCCCCAACAGAAGAGACACAGGTGAAAGAGGAAGCCCCAACAGAAGAGACACAGGTGAAAGAGGAAGCCCCAACAGAAGAGACACAGGTGAAAGAGGAAGCCCCAACAGAAGAGCCACAGGTGAAAGAGGAAGCCCCAACAGAAGAGACACAGGTGAAAGAGGAAGCCCCAACAGAAGAGACACAGGTGAAAGAGGAAGCCCCAACAGAAGAGACACAGGTGAAAGAGGAAGCCCCAACAGAAGAGAGACAGGTGAAAGAGGAAGCCCCAACAGAAGAGACACAGGTGAAAGAGGAAGCCCCAACAGAAGAGACACAGGTGAAAGAGGAAACCCCAACAGAAGCAAAACAGGCACAGGAGGAAGCCACATCAGAGGAGACAGAGAAACAAAAGGAAACAACAGTGGGGACGCAGGAGGAAACAAAAGCAGACACAGAGGTGACGCAGGAGGAAGCCACAACAGACGCAGAGTTGACGCAGGAGGAAGCCACAACACACACAGAGGTGACGCAGGAAGAAGCCACAGCAGACACAGATGTGACGCAGGAGAAAGCCACAGCATACGCAGAGGTGACACAGGAGGAAGCCACAGCAGACGCAGAGGTGACGCAAGAGGAAGCTACATCAGAGACACATACGCAGGAGGAAGCCTCAGCAGACGCAGAGTTAATACAACAGGAAGATCCAGCAGAAGAGACACAGACGAAGGAGGAATATACAGCAGATACACAGGTGGTGCAGGAGGAATATACAGCAGACAAACAGGTGGAGCAGGAGGAAGTCAGAGCAGATACAGAGGTGAGGCAAGAGAAATCCTCAGCAGTCGCAGAGGTGAAGCAGGAGGAGGATCCAACATATGCAGAGGAAGCCCCAGCAGACCTAGTGACGCAGACGCAGGAAAAATCCCCAGCAGACGTAGAGGTGACGCACGAGGAAGCCTCAACAGAAGCAAAAGTGCCACAGACGCAAGAAGAAGCCCCACTAGATGACGCAGCAGGAGGCACGACTGGACTAGAGGCTGGTGTAGCAGACATCGCAAGTCGTCTGGAAGGTATTCGCTGCACCCTTGAGAGTGTCATATTTAACTTCACCCCAACTGCTGCTACTCACCTTTGTAACTCCCCGCCCTCTCTCTCTCTCCTGACTGACGCCCCGCCCTCTCTCCTGACTGACGCCACTCCCTCTCTCTCTCTCCTGACTGACGCCCCGCCCTCTCCCTCTCTCCTGACTGACGCCCCGCCCTCTCTCCTGACTGACGCCTCGCCCTCTCTCTCTCTCCTGACTGACGCCCCGCCCTCTCTCTCTCTCCTGACTGACGCCCCGCCCTCTCCCTCTCTCCTGACTGACGCCCCGCCCTCTCTCCTGACTGACGCCCCGCCCTCTCTCCTGACTGACGCCCCGCCCTCTCTCTCTCTCCTGACTGACGCCCCGCCCTCTCCCTCTCTCCTGACTGACGCCCCGCCCTCTCCCTCTCTCCTGACTGACGCCCCGCCCTCTCCCTCTCTCCTGACTGACGCCCCTCCCACACTTTCATCCTCTACTGAAACCTGGCCCTCGCACTCTATCCTTATTCATAGTGAAGCCACGCCCACCCTATCGCCAGTTGAAGCCACGCCCACCCTATTGCCTGCTGAAACCACGCCCACCCTATCGCCTGTTGAATACACGCCCACCCTATCGCCTGTTGAATACACGCCCACCACCTCTCCACTAACTAATGGCCAGCCCACCTCCTGGTCCACTACTATAGCGCCTGCTAATGCAACCGTGCCGCCCACCAGTAACCACGCCCCCTCTCCGGCAGCCCACCACCCGCCCACCAGTTTAGAGCAGGGAGCAGCCTTGGGGGAGGAGGAAGAGCGGGTGGACGCGGCCTCCGCGAGACGTCTTTACGCACCTCACTCCGGTCTCTCATTCAACCACCAGGGTGCGTTGAGTGTGTTTGTGTTGTGTGGTTTCCTTACCTGAGTGTTAGCGAGTAGTCAAGTGCGTGCTGCGTGCGTTGTGTGTGTGTGTCAGTGCTTCTTAGAGACACTAGTGCTTGATGTTGCCATAGGGGCAGTGATAGCCAGCAGTGTTGCCTGCCGTAGAGGCAGTGATAACGAACAGTGTTGCCGTAGGGGTAGCTAGCGGGCAGTGTTGCCGTAGGGGCAGTGCAGTGGGTAGTGTTGTGCTTGCAGCTACACCAGTACTAACCTGCCACGTGAGGGGGGGGAGGGGGAACTGGGGGGTGTTATTGTAGGAGGGGCGGCAGAGCATGTGTCAACACTCGCACCTCCCTCCACCACCACATCTCACTCCAGTTATGCTGGGACGAACTGGCTGACCAGTCACGTGCAGGCGACACAAGTCGTGTGGCCTCCGGAGGGTCGTCTCGGCCCCTCAACCATGCGACGAAGAAAGACGACGTAGTGAAGGCGTGTCGTACTACGAAGTGGGACGTCATGGGGGAGAAGTGCTGTATTACGAAGGGGGACGACGCGGGGGACGAGTGTAGTTTCTACGACGAGGTGGTGACGTCCCCCAGGCGTCCCTACCGCAGCGGCAGCAGCGACTCTGCCATTAATGCAGAGTATAACGACAACTCCGCCTTCTACGGGAGGAGGTCGCTAGCCGCGATTTTTGGTTCCCTCGGGAAGGGGGGGAGGCATAGGACAACTGTGACGTCACCGAGTAAGCCCTATCAGAAGGCATGTTGTAGACCAAAGAGTCAGTTCTATGTCGACCTTCCTCTCGACACCACGCACCGCGACGCCCACTCCGACAGCCACGCCCCTACAGGCAATAACCACGTACACTCACATTACACCCAAGTCTCTACATCGCGTGGCAGGGACTGGCAAATGCAAACAGAAAGTAGTGAAGTGAACAAGACCCAGCTGGGAAAGAAACGTTTGTGCAGGACCCAGCAGGATATCCATCCTTCTTTTACAGTACCGTATCAGGGGGCTCCCACGCCAGCAGGATGTAGAAGCAAGACTCAGCTGGGAGTGTTAGTTATACCAGAGTCACTGAAGGAGTCTGCTGCATACAGACGGAGAGCCCAACAGCTGGACAATACCCGTCAGGAGGAGGACTCCCCCGCTCACTCCAGCATGGGTCTCGGGTTCTCTAGAGAAGACGACCTCCACCAGGAGACCAAGCAGTGTACTGAAGGCGAGACCAAGACCTACACAGTAGCTGCCAGCGTCACACAGCAGTACGTGACTGTCCTGGCCGAGCTCACACACAAATACGCAGGTCTGCTGCACCCTCACGCAGACCAGGCGGGTGCAGCAGGCGAGGGTCGTGGTGAAGGGTCACTAAGGAACACACTAGATGGTGTTGATACTTATCTGAAATATGGTGCCCTTCTGGATTATGAGGGCCCCGTGGAGTATAGTGTCAGTGCGGACGACAGCGCCCCTGTGGATGATAGTGTCCCTGTGGAGTATGGTGTACCTGCGGAGGAATGTGCCTTTCTTGAGCATGCTGCCTCCTCTCCTCACACTCTGAAAAAACATTATTCTGGCGAATCTGAGCGAAGTGCTGTGAAACATTACGATAGTGATCATGGAGAGTGTGGTGTATATAGTGAAGGATCACCAATATATCCTGGAAGTGATAGTGAACGGACGCCAAGTGAACAGTGTGGTGATAGTGATCGAACTCGTGCAGATGGTGAGAGTGGTGATTTGAAGTGTGGTGAAATAGAAGCCATTGAGGGGATAGTGAGGGGGGTGGAGGAGGAGACTCATGTGGTGAGGGAATGCTCGACTTTACAAGAGTTTCCCTCGAGAGTCCTGGAGGTGCTGGGGGTGGGGGAGAAGCTTGGTGTGGAGGTTGGGGAGAGGGGTGGTGGCTGCTTCTCATTAGGGCGGGGTAGCAGCTTGTGTGAGGGGGTGTCGCATGCTACTACTAACCCACTCACCACCAGTTTGGACCTGACTCGCAAGGCCAGCCCGGACCTAACCTCACCGGCCAGCCTGGACCTAACCTCACCGGCCAGCCCGGACCTAACCTCACCGGCCAGCCCGGACCTGACCCCTGCTGCCAGTCCTGACCTGACTTCCCAGGATAAGCGTGACAGAAAGATCTTCCTCATTGCTCAAGAAGTGATGACTTCCGAGCGAGTGTTTGTAAATGTTCTCAGACTATTAAATGTAGATTTTCGCCAGTTTGTGTGTGAGTGGCGGGAAGATGGCGTCCCGTCGCTGCCTCTGGAAGACCTCAACAAAATACTCAACTACTTACCACAATTACAGAATCTGAATGAGGAGATTCTGGCGGACTTGGAAGAGCGCATCGCAGACTGGGAGAAACATAAGAAGATATCGGATGTAATTGTACGCAAGGGACCCTTCCTCAAACTGTATTCGGCCTACATAAAGGAGTTTGAATGCCAGTGTGAACATCTTGACTACTGTTGTGACACGTACTCGGCCTTCAGCAAAGCAGTCAAGCACTTCGAGGCGTCGGCGCGGTGTAACAAGCTACAGATCAAACATTATATGCTCAAGCCTGTGCAGAGGATACCCCAGTATCGTCTGCTCCTGGAGGAGTACCTCAAGTGCCTGCCGGAGACCAGCCCGGACTATGTGGACACCCAGACGGCCCTAGCGGTGGTGGCCAACGTCGCCGCTCATGCCAACGACACCATGAAGCAGGGGGTGAGTACATGAACTGCAGTCTCTTGTTGTTGCTATCTTAGAAGCGGGGGGGGGGGGGGTCCCAGAGCTGTGTCACGTGGTGGGAGTGTTACCATGGCAGCTGGGGAGGAGGGGGGGGGGTCGACTGGGGAGGGGGGTATTATGTGGATCTCTCATGTAAATATTTACTTCTCGATCCATATTACTTAGACTTAATACGCTCACGCACAATTTCCCCCCATCTGAAATGGCAGCTGTCCCTGTCTTGCCCCCATGGTGTCCGTTACGTTGTGGAGATATGTTCACAACCTACATGATACTTATATGGGCATAACCGAGATGAATGGGGAGACCTTGTTTCAAATGAGTGAACACAACACGAAGGAATATCGGCGAATGCATAAATGACGCAGAAGGACGAGAGGAAGTAGGTCACGAGTAGTCAACAATTGTGGATTGATCATATAAGAAGGATTTAACATTTCAAGAGCTGGATCTCACTCCCCGCACACACTCCCCGCACACACTCCCCGCACACACTCCCCGCACACACTCCCCGCACACACTCCCCGCACACACTCCCCACACACACTCCCCGCACACACTCCCCGCACACACTCCCCGCACACACTCCCCGCACACACTCCCCGCACACACTCCCCGCACACACTCCCCGCACACACTCCCCGCACACACTCCCCGCACACACTCCCCGCACACACACTCACTGGATAACACTAGCAAGACTGGGTTTAGAAACTTGAACAAGTAATCATTCAACACTATATACCGTTTATGTCAGACAAAATCGGGAACACGTAGCCCCAGCTTGATATCATCAAACACACAGTGATAGTGGACACAATCTGAAGAGATCTGCTACTATAGGTAAGAGGAAACGCTAAAGAATTTAAGCCTTCCACCATTAAAATAATTGCAATATTATCTTCCAGATAAAATAAAGATGACAAACACGATTGCAACTCATTAAATACATATGGGAACTGGCGGGGTGGACTAAGATTATTACATCTGAATAACCAACCATGCCAACCCTGGGCCTCGGCCCTACAACCATACATAAACACACAACAAAACATTTAAAATGGGCGGGAGACGAACAAGGGAACAGCTCAAGTGAAAACTAAGTACCCGCATCAGCCACGGGGATACTAGGGGAAAAAACTCGAATGCCAGATTGTATGAATGTGGAATAAATAAAGTGATGGAGGCAAACTCCACACGGGGGTTTAAATGTCACTACTCTCAGAGTGAGATTGATAACCTGTTACCTGTACAAGAGTCGACTCAAGGTTGAATGTCGAGACCCAAGAGCTGGCGTTCAGCCCCCAAACACAGCTACATGGGTTAGTATTTTATCACAAGTCGAGCCTGGCCTCAGGCCCAGCTTGGCAAGTAGAAAAATTCCCAGAACTCTCTCCAGGTATAACCCCAGTACACACACAAAGCCGAGTGGACAGGGCTCTGGGGTCGTAGTACTAAGGGCCTGGGTTCTCTCCAGGTATAACCCCAGTACACACACAAAGCCGAGTGGACAGGGCTCTGGGGTCGTAGTACTAAGGGCCTGGGTTCTCTCCAGGTATAACCCCAGTACACACACAAAGCCGAGTGGACAGGGCTCTGGGGTCGTAGTACTAAGGGCCTGGGTTCTCTCCAGGTATAACCCCAGTACACACACAAAGCCGAGTGGACAGGGCTCTGGGGTCGTAGTACTAAGGGCCTGGGTTCTCTCCAGGTATAACCCCAGTACACACACAAAGCCGAGTGGACAGGGCTCTGGGGTCGTAGTACTAAGGGCCTGGGTTCTCTCCAGGTATAACCCCAGTACACACACAAAGCCGAGTGGACAGGGCTCTGGGGTCGTAGTACTAAGGGCCTGGGTTCTCTCCAGGTATAACCCCAGTACACACACAAAGCCGAGTGGACAGGGCTCTGGGGTCGTAGTACTAAGGGCCTGGGTTCTCTCCAGGTATAACCCCAGTACACACACAAAGCCGAGTGGACAGGGCTCTGGGGTCATAGTACTAAGGGCCTGGGTTCTCTCCAGGTATAACCCCAGTACACACACAAAGCCGAGTGGACAGGGCTCTGGGGTCGTAGTACTAAGGGCCTGGGTTCTCTCCAGGTATAACCCCAGTACACACACAAAGCCGAGTGGACAGGGCTCTGGGGTCGTAGTACTAAGGGCCTGGGTTCTCTCCAGGTATAACCCCAGTACACACACAAAGCCGAGTGGACAGGGCTCTGGGGTCGTAGTACTAAGGGCCTGGGTTCGGTTTCCGGTCGATGCAGAAACAAATGGGCAAAGTTTGTTTCAACTGAGAAACAATGTCAGTCTAAACTCAACAAACTAGAGAAACTAAAGTCAACAGTGAGTTTACTGCTAGGTTTCAGTTCACCTAGCAGTAAATACATATCTGGGAGTTAGACAGCTGCTATGGGCTGCATCCTGGGATGTGTGTAAGAAACATCTGTAGTAGATATAATTGAGGAAAATAGATCGGGAATTGGTAAATTAGACAACCGACCGTTAGAAAGGCGGGGTCCAAGAACTAACAGCTGTACCCAGTAGGCACAAATAGTAAAAACACACATGCATGCACCTGTCACACACACCTGTAAATACACACATGCATGCACACATACACTAGTTACAGGTAGAATGAAATAACTCACAGTGTAACATATTCCTGTAAGAGAAGTCAATAGGTAGTTCTTCTGAGGTCTTGAGTAGTTGTGGAATTCACGGGCATAGCACAGCGGACGCGACGAGGCTAGGCCTGTAACCCTGCACATAATCCCCCACACGAGACATAGTTCAGTGCACCGTGGGTGCAGTAAGGCCCACACACTGTCCCGTGTGGGGAAAAAAATAATAGTAGAAACAGTTGATTGACAGTTGGCAGGCGGGCCGAAAGAGCAGAGCTCAACCCCCGCAAGCACAACTAGGTGAGTACAACTAGATGAATACACACTACCACTCCCACAGGACTCTCAAAAATGACAAAGTAAAATGAGGCAAGGTAAAGTTGACTTCATTACTGAGCTGCTTCCTATAACAGCAGGTGTGTGTAGCAAACAGGTGCGCGAGTGATCTTCCTGCGGGAAATGAGTCAAGGTGAATGAAATCGTGAGAAAATGTTCCTGTCTAGAGCATGGTAATACTGACTCACCTAAGTATGAGAAACGTTTGGCCTCGCCTAAGTGATACTGGCATGGTTACACGAGACAAAATGTGACCAGTGTTCATCCTTCCAACAGATTTAGTATGTACAGCTGTAGTCAATTTTAAATAGATTGTAAATGTTCATATGGCGGTCTACAATGTCTGTCAGCATTAATAATTTTGTCCGTCATCGTTTTAATGTTTAAAGTTCTATTCCCCAATAATTAATAACTAATATGCCAATAAAATCAGGGTATTAGCGCCCAAATCTAGATAAACATTGCCAGAGAATAGTGTAAAATACACGTGACACATCCCGCATTCTTTGTGTCTGGGGCTCATGAGGTCCCGGTGATCTTAATTTTATGAACTCTAGACTTAACTAGCTAGATCTTCAGTGTTATAACTTGCTTAGCTAAACGAATTTAGGAGTTCCGTTCCAGACCCCATCCTGTGCCTCTGTAACCTTTCCACTACCATCCACATGATGGGTATGGGGTCCACTACCACCCACGGGATGGGTATGGGGTCCACTACCACCCACGGGATGGGTATGGGGTCCACTACCACCCACGGGATGGGTATGGAGTCCACTACCGCCCACGGGATAGGTATGCCCAGCTTGATAAATGAGCTAAGCTGAAGCCGTTTTATGTAGGTTACTAATTAGGCCTGATTAACGTCACTATACTGATGTAATATTGTCGAGTGTCAAGAGCTATTAGGCTTATCGAGGTCTCCTCTAGCCAAGTGAGGTTGACGGCGGTCGCCATCCAGTTATTGGCCCAGCCCAAGCTGTACTTAACCAAACTGACAATTTATATATAAATCACTTAAATTAACTGCGCCGCGACAATTTTTTGCAGGGAGACTCCTACGCGGGCCCCAAGCCTATGGCTGGCCCACTAAGTTTTATTCAGGATAAGTATGTACGACGCGTATGTTGGCTTCAATAAGATTATGTCCAATGTGTTTAACAACTGCGCCGTTCAATCCCAGTTGCAATCTTACTTCGTTTGTAACTCTGCACTTTGTTAATAAGGTTGCAATGGTCTGTCGGGCTTTCCCTCACAATGGTGGCAATCCTCTCTTCTGGCGCTTATAAGCCTATACCACATGCCCATGGGTAGCCAAGCTCGATTGATATATCGTTCAGTAGAAAGTTATTTTGAACTGTCTTGTAATAAAAAAAACTAGTTACTCCCCCCATCCCCCCCCCCCCCCTACCGTTATCTTCACGCTCCCTCTCCCGGGAGCCGCGGCCAGTTGACTCAGCGTGTATTAGTCATCCCCGAGGATTTCGTCATTGACTGCTCACGCTAGATAACTGTGTGATCTAGTACCTCGCGGCTCTGTTTCTCACAGCTCTGTGTCTCGCGGCTCTGTACCTCACAGCTCTGTGCCTCACGGCTCTGTGCCTCACAGCTCTGTGCCTCACGGCTCTGTGCCTCACAGCTCTGTGCCTCACAGCTCTGTGCCTCACGGCTTGGTACCCCGCAGCTCTGTAGCTCACAGTTTCTGTGCCTCATAGCTCTGTGCCTGGGGGCACCACCACCAAGCCTCACAGTTAACA